CTTAGTCACTATAACCCCAGTATTCCAGCTTCTAAACCTTATTCCCAGAGGACACTCAAAATCTAACTAAAATATATCCAAATCAAAGTCATTGCTATCCAAATACAATGAAGAACTAGAGATCATTCTTTAGTGGGATCTACAGGTTGAGCTATTGTTATACGTAAAATGAAACAGGTGTTTTTACAACTTACAAAAAGGTTGTATTTTCTCTCTCTCTTTTTTTTTTTTTATAAATTAAAATTGTGGTGCGTTTTCATTCTTCACATTAGATCTACAGTTAATAGTATAAATATTCCAGATTCTTTGTAAGTTTCTTAAAAAATTATGAGATACAAGCAAGAATATGGCATTTTCCAGGAATATTTAATGTTAATGTTATTATCAACTGTTAAAAAAAAGACATTTTCTTTAGCAAGTCTGAAATTCCAGAAATACCGTTGTTCACTCTCCAACAACGTGTCAGCTTTGCTAGAAAGTTGTTCTGTGAAGCAAAGTATCCCTGCAGACATCATCTGCAATGGAACAAAGTTGTCTTACAGAGCAAGGGCTCATTCTTTCCAGGTTGGGAAATGTGCTTAGTTGGTTTTGGTCCTCTTGCAGTTTATCTCCTTTAATACTAATCAGTCTAATTTCCACTCCAATACACTCCTTACTGGTCCAGAATCGAAAATTGATGCCTAATCGCTACTACTGAGCAAAACTCAGCCGTTCCAATGCCTCATGGCAGAGGTCAGCCCAGCTGCTACAATGAGGAGCAGCAGATGAGGCAAGAGGGGTTTCTGCCATCGTCTCGGCTGTGCCGATTCCCTGACGAGAGGCAAAGGCTAGCCAGGACGTGGAGCACCAGTCCGCTCCTGAGAGGTGACTGTGGTGTCTGAGCCACTGAGCAGTCTGACTGGGCTCACAGCAAGAGCTGAGTCAAGGGTAGTACATGAATCCTGCAAAAATGAAGTACATAAAAAAATGGGAGAGGAATTAGGCTCCAGCTTTAGCTCTTGGAGCTTTAGAAAAGCAAGCGCAAGCTTTACAGTGATTGTGCGCCTGCAAGTAGCACTAAATAAATCCAGAGATGGGGGTAGTTCTAAGTAGGCAGAACTACAAGTCTGTCCTTGACATTGGACCTATGGTGTTAAAGATGCCTACATTCAAATGCGTTTGTTGCTAAAGCAATTTAAACTTACAAAGAACATGGATTTCAGAAGTCAAGGAGTAGGTAGAGACGTTTGTGTAACTGCTAAGCCATTTACTCTTTTTTGGTTTGCTTATGCAGAACACTTCTCTAATCACTCATATTGGAAAAGCATAATGCTAAAAATAGGAAGACTGTTGCTTCCGATGCTCTAATAGAGCACTGTGTTTATGTCTTTCTTGTCTTTTTGCTTGTATCATGTATCTGCTGTTTAATAGCTCATTCTTCTCCTGCCAGCCACAGGTAGAGTCATGTACTTATTGATAAATAAGGTTTGACAAGAATGACAGCCAGCATGCTTTCATCTTTAGTTAGACAAAAATCTGGCTCTAGTTAGACAAAAGCCTGGCAGAAACGGTCCACTGATTCCCTGCACTGCCAGTTAGCACTGTGCCCTCGGTTACAGAGCAGTGTTGTTTTTTGGAACAGCAGAGCACTCTTCAGGAATTCATCAGTCCATGGTCTCTCTGATATTGCTAAGTGTAGTGCTGTGTGTGTAGTTATTTTTATATTTTAAGGATGTTTCATGCTAGCAACAAAAGACATCAGTAACTGTAAGTCATAGCTGACTTCCAGCAACTTAGGAGATGGAAAACTGTCCTACACGTGATTTTCAAAAGATGAGCTAGCCCTTCTAACTCTCTTGCAATATAAGAGATTTTGTAAAATGATGGTCTTTATTTCTTTCTCTTAAAGCAGGGTTCTTTACAAGAGAAGGAGGAGAGCGATCTGGACTTGGTTTCCTCACAGAGTCCCAGTGTCCAAGAATGGCTGGCACAAGCAAGAACAACTCGCTCACAGCAGCAGCAGAGCAGTCTGCAGCAACAGAAAGTTGGTGTTTTGTATTTCTTTTACTCTCATCTTTCGATCACATTTAACACTGTAGCGGAGCCATTCTTATTAATATTTGCACTGAAGTCTTCATTTTTACACTGCTCCTTACTGAACGTTCTTGTAGTGATGAACGTGAGCTCCCTATTTTGTGTCTGTAACAGCTAAGTGGACTAGACTTCTGGGTGACCATGGCCAAGCCACTTTACCACGTTGTATTACTGTTCACCATCAGTAAAATTAAACGGAATCATCTCTCGAAGTTACTGTAAGGAGATGATCTTTACTATTTTGAACAAATACCATCAATACTGTCTTTATAGAAGCAAAAGAGTACACGCTACAAGGTATATTATGTTGCACAATGCACTGATATCATCACTAGTTTAGGTTCCATAAAATGCACTGCATTAGTCCAACAATTCACATAAACCTCAGTTTATGTACCCTACTTTTCTGTATGCGTAGGTGGAGACTTGCACTGCTTTTGGTGTTCAAGCAAGCCGTATCAAAAATAGCTCAGCTATCTCTGCTTGACAGTTATGCAATGCAGGCGTATGCTTTCAAGGCAAAAACAGTCTGTCTAAGGTTTGTTTTGGTTTTTTGTAACTTGCTGTGTTAGGAGCTGGAACAAGAGCTAGAAGAGCAGAAGAATCTGCTTCGATCAGTAGCAAGCCGTGGAGAAGAAATCCTTACACAGCAAGGTGCTCCAGAAGGCCTATGTCTAAGGTGTGCTTTGATCTTCTGTGAAGTAAATATAAATTTCTAAAACTATATGCTCTGTCACCCCTGCGTTTACATCCCTCTTTCACATGCAAGCCTCTAATCTTTGTTTCTTCTTTTTTATGCAGCACCTAATGACCTCCTGGAGTCATGGTTCTTAGCTAGGGGGTAACGCAGACGGTGGTTTGTACCAATAGATCATCTTCAGTCCTTAGAAATTCTTTTTATTCTTATCATCAAACCACACTAAAATTACAAATTAGTAGAATGCATTAGACAGGCAAGTGGATCAGTCACTGTGGCTTTATGGTCCAGCACTGGTATGTGAATCATAGCTGATCACTATCTAAAATATTGTAGTCTGCCATTGCAATCAGCTCTTCCCAGCTGAGATGCTCATTGCATAACTGTATTTTTCCTGCAATTATTGAATATTTTTATTTTTGGAGCCTCAAGAGTTTTGAATTTCATCTCTGGTCTAGAATTTCTTGCACTCTTGCCCATATGGGGGAAGGAGATGGCTTAAAAAGCCTTGTATCTGGCTGGGAGAGAGTTGAGCCTTAGAGAATGCAGAAGAAAATAGCTGCGTACTGCCTATGCAGGCTGTGAGGGAGTTGCCTGGGTGAGGTCTGGGGATCAGGGAGCAGGGTTAATAATACCATCTTGAGAGCTTCTGTTATAAATACTTTCTTGATGTATCTAGTAGTAGTGAGGGCGTCTGTGCCTATGATGTTACATTATAGAAACAAAAAATCAAACCGAAAATGCTAGAATAGACTTAATTCACTGTTTACCAAAAGTCTACTTTGGTCATATGCTTGACCTACATTAAAATATCAGAGTATGTCTGGGAGGGCAGGGGAGAAGTTAGATGAAATATTTTTTTGTATCATGCTTTGAAGTAAAACTTGTTTAAAGTTTGTGTTTCAGTGTAGTAAAATTTTTATCTGTTTGGGGTTCTAAGTTATCCTGGGTACTTACAACTCTAAACAGTTACTTACAAAGTACATTTTGTCTCATCAGCCAAGTCATTTCTTCCTCTTACAAGCTAGCTCTTGTCTTACTACCTGAAGGAACAAGTAAAAGCTTTAAGAACGAGCATTTAGTTTAAATGTTAGAATTTCCTAACTGAAAGAGGAAAGAAATGTCTTACACTGTTATAACTTTTATATTTATTAAACCTTTATGCATTTATTCATTACAGTGAGAAGCCTGATACACTCTCTGAGGAGTTAGGCTTGGAAGGTGAGAAGCCATCAGCTGAAGAACAGATGAAGATGAAATGGGAAAGCCTGAATCAGGAATTCAATACCAAGCAGAGACTGCTCCAGAAAGCTTTGGAGCAAGAACAGCTGGTAACTATTTTTAATTTCTCTGTGCATTTTCTTTGTGAAACCAGTTGTCACAACACAAGGTACAGTAGGTTTATAGCAAATGCATTAACCTAATGTGGTTAATGCAGAGATTAAGGACTAAATTATTTTTGTGACATCTTTATAAACTAGTAAGTACTGGCACTACTATTGCTCTTGTTCAAAGTCTTGATTTGAACACTTCCGTTTATGTGAATAAGCTACAAAGGAAAAAAGGATTTGGACAAAACTTTTGATTGCATCTACTCCAGGATAATTCTGTAACAAATTGTGCCTCTGAAATTGACGAGTACTCTGGTGAAAATCTAGAGTAAATCTGGCATTCTGAGTCTAAGCTTATTCATTAAATTCTTGGTCTTAAGTACTTGAGTGTGTGGCAAAGAACTGAGTGATCTCAGCCACAGAATTTTTACTGAAAGAAACAGAGATTGCTCAAGTAAATCGGGGACAGTCCAAGATATATTTTCAAATGCATCCTCTATTTTATTTTTCTAGACCCAAACCCACTATGCTTTCCAAAATACTAGCTTGAAAGCATCTTCCAAAGATCTAAATATCTTATGTTCATTCAAGAGTAATTAATTATTTTGATAAAATAAGCCATTGCTAATTCTTGCCACAGGTATTTATTCTGCACTTGTGGTCAACCTCCTGTCGATCGATCTTTTATACAAGATGAACGCTGAACAGTTGTGGGAGGGCCATGAGCATTGTTTGCCAGGATCCTCAGTAGGCTGTAAAATCTGTATGGCTTAATGTTGTGTCCTTTTTTTGGTAAAAACACTCTTAACTTCTTTCTCAATAGCTTTATAACAGACCAAGCAGATTGATGTCTGGAGTACCTTTGTATAAAGAAGAAGGACAGGATCAGGATAAATCATTAGTTTCACCAGTATTGGTTGAATTGAATCAGGCCTTTGAAGATGTGTCGTCTGAGGTAACATTTCATTTGTCTTTACACTTATCTTCCGGCAAAACATTTACAATGTCCATTTCCAGTGAAAATTCCCCTAGGCTCCCTCCTGGAAATCTAGTCTTTTCCTTAATATTAGATGTTAGAGAGAGTATCTTGTACTTCTACTCTGAAACTCTTCTGCTTCTTTTTGCCCAGGCTGGACGTGCAGAGAAGGAGAGCCTGCATCTAGAGCAGAAGTTGTATGATGGTGTCTCAGCCACCTCTTTGTGGCTAGATGGTGTGGAAGAACACATGTTTGTTGCCACAGGTCTGCTGCCAGAGGAAACAGAAACATATCTCTACAAGCAAGAAGTAAGGAATCTATGAATAGGGTATTCTTTAAACTGCCAGTAAGGCTGCATTTTACATAGTACTTTAGCAAGAAAATTTTCGAATCCTGTGTAAGCGACATGTCACTGTCATAATCTCTACGTAATTGCTGCATCCTGCCATTGGTAGAGGTAACGTTATTGCATGCATAGAGACTATTTCAGAAAGCAGTGTCTGACGCAAATTTTGCCTAATCAGAAGAGAATTAAGCATAGTATTTGGAAGACTCTTCTGCTTAACTTCTTTGCCTAGTATTAGCAGACATCACCCTGTTAAAATTGGAATGATGTGAAGAACAGGGAGGAAAATTCTGGGGTACTGAAACAGTACAAATTCATTGACATGAAATGTTGTTGAGAGAGAGGTAAAAGCTTTTTCAAGCAGCAGTTGGCATAAGGCAGCTGCAGGCATTTATGTTTCCCAACACCCTTATTCAGAGTGAAAGATCATTAACATGGGTTAATTTTGTTTCAGCATTTATTTTCCTCAGAGCAACTGTTTTTTAGCGTTGTCAGAAATACTGTCTTACATACATACCTAATACATACATACATAATTTTGTCTAATGGGTGTAGATTAACAATATAAAAAGTCAATACCTCATTACAAAACGGCATTTGTTATGACAATGTTTGCTTGCTTTCTAGAAAGTCTAACTGTAACTTTGTTTTGCTTTCCACAAAATCAGTCTCTTGCCAAAGAAATCAAAGAGATAACAGAAGAAATGGATAAGAACAAGAATTTATTTACTCAGACATTTCCGGAGAATGGTGATAATAGGGATGTTATAGAAGACACATTGGATTGCCTCCTGAGAAGACTGACCTTACTGGAGTCAGTAGTAAACCAGAGATGCCATCAGATGAAGGAAAGGCTCCACCAAATAGTTACTTTCAAGGTATGATGCCCATCTGAAGGAATTACCAAGGGTACATGTCAAACGGGATATGAAGGATGTGACTCTGAGAGCGATGAGAATTTTTGATACCAAATCGAAAGGACAGATGTTTAGACAGTCCTTACTGATATTAAAACTCCACCTTAGGCTAACCAAAACTTGGTACCTAAATCATTATCCAAAATCTAAACTCACTGTTAGAAGCCTTGTGCAACTCTTACAGTTGTTATAGAGAGAATCATCAATTCCATACCTTCTCACCCTATTAGCATTGCAATAAACAGAACTTCTTGACTGCTTTTCTCAAAGGAGAACAAACGACTTTATAGAGATTGTAAAGTGAAGATCTAAAGTTGTTGAAGAATTAATAATTAATAAAATTGTTAAAGCATTAAATAAAAGTTGTTAAAGCATTAATGAATAATGCAGCAAATTATTTTCTTTAGCTGTCATACATTAGAAAACACAGTCCCACCTTTCTGGCCACTTTTAAGACACCTCATTATTCTGTCAGATGCATCTCAAGCCATCTGTATTGAACCAAGGGAAGAAAAGAGAGAGTGATTGAGAAATGTTCACACTTAGGAATCTTTTGAAATTTGATTTGAAATAATATTCAGAAATATTTTCAGATCTTAGATGATCTCTACCTTGTGTCCTTTTCTTATTTTATAAAGCCTCCAGTTAGAGTGTGGTTTTGCTTTAATGAAAAAACATGGCTTCCAGCAAAAAACTGCAAACTAGATTCCTGGTATCTTTAGGTTAGCATCATAATTTCAACAGGCTGTTACTGTAGGATTTCTTTCCAAACTCCAATGCTTTACCTCTGCAGTCGATAGGAAGGAATATGTGACAGGTATTGTCAAGAAAAGGCCTTTCGTTATTGAAGAAAAGAGACAAGTTTGTTAGAAATCTGTGCTAATGCATAGGATTATTACACCAGAGATATTTAGTATTATATACTTGCAAAAAAAATCAATAGCTCACCCTTTTATTATGTTGAAAGAAAAGAAAAATTTACTGATCATTTTCTGTTTTACCAATATTAAGAGCTTGGTTGGGATGAATATGTGAAAAATAAAAATTAATTGATAGTGGCTCTGTAAAATTACTACATAATAAAGTGTGTGTCCAGTCTGAAAAGCTACCTCAAAATGTGTAGTTAGCCTTGTAATGTGCAGAAGCCTTGTTTACTTCTTTATTACGTTGTCTCAAGTTTATAAAGAACAAAACCTTTTTCTTATAAAGTTAAACCTAACTTGTTTACCAGTGTATGTATGACTGAATACGCTGTACCATTATAAGTTATTTTTGTAAATGAAACTAATCTTTGCTATCTAATCAGAAAGTAAAAGCAGAAGTGCATTCACAGATTGTATTTTGAATAGGAGTTGCTTTAGCTTTTTGTTCGTATGTATCCAGTTACGGACTTTCAGCAACATTTCATGTTTTGCATTGGATAATTATGATGCTTTCAGTTTTGAATAGGCTTTATGCCTTACTGCTGACCAGTCCCATTTTTATTACATAGCAATAGCACTTTAATGCTGTGATTGACTATAATTTTTTGTTGTTATCTCCTATAGAGTGATCTGAAGCTCCTGTTTACATCGCTAGGTGATAGCAAATATTTAGTTCTACAGAAACTGGCAGAGGCAGTTGAGAGACCAGAAACGGAACAAATTCAGGTATTAACAGACGTCTATTATTTGACAACAAAATTGAGGGAAAGATTATATTCAAGGTGTAAATAGATATTAGAGGACAGCTGGAATAATGTATGTATTCCCATAAGGTCTGTGAAAATAAATGACTACTTCCAAGAATGTACTATCCCTGTCTGTAAATTAAAAGAAACATGATGTCTGTCTTTATCTCCTCACCTGACCTGGTTATACACAAAGTGGGCACTATTTGAAAGAAAGGTAACTTCAGTTCACCAGAGGTCTATAGTCAGTTTAAAATTCTTTGGCTGCTGTTGACTTTATTAAAAAGCAAAGGCACTTTCTACTGCACTGGGCTATAGTAAAATCTAGACTCTTACTCGTTTTGAGGAAAATTGTTTTACCTTTATTAAGAAGTGCCTGATGAACAACTAACTTTAAAATTAATTGAAGAGACAAAAGATATCCTATTTTCTTGTTTATCTTATTGCCAAAGTGACAGAAGTGAATGAAGGGCTACTTTTAACAAATGTTTCTCATTACACAAAAGCTACTGTTGTCTGGTGCCAGCAGCTGAGTGTGAGGAAGAGACTTATCCTTCAGCTAAAGAGAAACACTGGACTTCATGTATTCAATAATCGAATTTTGAGGAAATATTAAGTCTTGTGCATGCGTATGCTAGGTGGCACTCTGTGTTTTCTTTCTTGTTTTCCATTATGCAAAAGATTGTTAAAAATTTAGCTCCTATATGATTAATATAAATATCAAATATGGAAACAACAGGGTAATAAAAGCATCTGATCTAATTTGTTTCTAAGCATCTACCTTGGCTGATAAAACATGAGAGTTTCAAAGCATTGCTGCATGTTGAAGACATGAACGGGAAAGTATAGTTAAAGGTCCTTGACCAGCCGGGTAGCTTAGGTGCATGGAGTATATACAAGTTTAGTGACTGTATTATGCATAGCCGGTATGACCAGAAGTTAGGAGAACTACTCATGTATATAGCTGAAGCATTTAGATATGTAGTTTCTAAGAATGGGCCTTTAATTTTGGGAGTCTACCATGAGCTTTTAACTTTGTTATAGTTTGCATGCATGGACTCAGCAGAGACTCCTAGGTTGAGAGGCCTCGTTTCTTACAGCTACCATGGAAAAAATTTGACTTTTTTTTTTTTTTTGAAAAAAGTGATAACCTGCATACACTTGCAAATTGTTTCTCCTTGACAGTAACTTTGGCCTCATTCTGGTCCTCTAAAAAAACAAGAGAAAAGCTGTTTTGCTGTCATGTTTTTTGCTGTCATAGTTGTTTGCCTGGTGCTCAGACATGGCAGTAACGTGTGCTAATACAAAGAATGCTATTAAAGATGATAAAACAACTAATAGTTCTTTTGTGCCTGTGCTATAATAGCACAGAACTTCATAGCAAAGTTTTGTATAAACTAATATATGATACTAAAACAGCTTGTGACAAATATGCCACATGATCTTTAGAAACATGCAGGGACCCTCAACTTGGAATTAATATTTTTTCTGTGTTTCTTTAAAGTTATTCACTAAGGATGAAATTCATTATAGAAAAGGGGAGACTGATGAAAACTTCAGGCATTAAAGAAAAGAAAATTAATATAATGTGTAGCACCTGTAGTACTGTTATGAAACCTTCAAAGCTAAATGATATAATTTGCTAATATAGGTCATACTGCAGGCAGAAGAAGGTTTGAAGGAACTAGATGCTGGCATCAATGAATTAAAGAAGCGTGCAGACAAACTACAAATTGACCAACCTTCTGTGCAAGAGCTATCTAAGCTCCAGGTATGGCTCATACATTCCATCCTAGACCTGCCTAGTGATATCAGAGTTATTAGTATGTATGTGCTTTATGTGCTTTGTCTTTTCATCCTTACAGCCTCCTGCTTTTTATCACTGTTTGATTACCTGCAGATTTCCCCCTCCCCGTGGCTTTAGTTTTTAGAGAAGCTTTTCCTCTGTATTTTAGACCAAGAAAAAAAAAAAAGCAGATGTGTCAGGTGTGAAATAAGGATAATTGTTGCTGCTTTTTGCCTCCAAGGATATGTATGATGAGCTGATGATGATCATTGGATCCAGACGGAGTGACTTGAACCAGAATCTGGCTCTTAAGGGGCAATATGAGCAGGCTTTGCAGGACCTGGCTGACCTGGTAGAAACAGGCCAAGAAAAGATGTCTGGGGACCAGAAAATGATCGTTGCTTCTAAGGAAGAGGTCCAATTGCTACTTGACAAACATAAGGTAAGAACACATGAGGTACTTCAGGACCGGTCATGACTATAAGCTTGCACACAGTAAATTTCTAACTTTTCATTCCTGAAGGCTCAGGAGCTTTTCCTGAATGGTGGGTCCATGCTAACACAAGATATGCTAGAAATTGCTGTAGTTTAAACTGCAGTAAATGAACTGTTCTGACAGAATGGCTTTAAAATACTCTATTGCAGGTGAACTCCAGGTAGGATCATATTTGCTTCCTCATTTTAATAGCAAGTCTCCTATTTTTGTCTAGCATGCCACAGAACAATTTGATCCATGGCTCTCCTTTTTTTCCAATGGCAATTTAAGTTTACTAATAGCAACCACAATATATAATAAGACTTTGCCACATCTTAGTAGTAGTAAGAATTTCTTGGTAGTGCATGTCTGATTTAAGCCATTTTTGTTCATGGAGTGCAAGTTAGGATTGAATTTTCTTGTAAAGGACACCTTGGTTTTCTTCAGTGGTGGATTTTGTGAAATGTTTGTGGAAGGAAAAGTCTATCGAACTCTATGTCTGCAGATACTTGATTGTACTGCTGTCATCTTAAAATGTTTTAGTGGTAATAAGCTGAGTAACTATTCCGCTTCTTTTCTTTTGTCTCCCCTTTTCCACCCCAAAAAACTTCTCAGGAGTATTTTCAGGGGCTGGAGTCTCACATGATTCTGACAGAAACACTCTTTAGAAAGATGAGGAGCTTTGCCTTCTTGAGGGAAACTCAGTCGCATTCAGAACTAATGACAAAAGCTTCAGTTGTATTAAAGCAGGCCCATAAACGAGGTGTGGAGCTGGAATACATTCTAGAGGTGAGAATTTCTGTGTTCTTTTCTGTACTGCCATTGTGATGAACCAGCAGGATATCCTGTATTTCCTGTGCCTGGTCAGAACTGATGGATATTGGTCCCTTTTGTCATATCCAATACGGACTGATGGACTGCATGTAATCTTTGCTACTTATATGTCGGAAACTTCACGTGGTACAAATTGTGTTTGTGTAAACCTAAAAGTGCTTTAACTGTGAAGGAGGACACGATAACTTTATCCAGTCTTAGGCCAATTCTGTATTTTAACCAAAAGCTGAACTTGACACAGGGTTTCGTCTTGTTATCAGTTCATAGGGCATTTGTACCATTATTTCTGTATAGTCACAATAATGCAGCTGCAGGATCTGAGGCAGAGAAAACAAGTAATACATTTATAATTCATTGAAGAATAAAAAATCTAGATGCCAAAACCAATATTCACCATATTCATGGATAAATTGTGCTTGCAGACCTGGACGTGCCTGGATGAGGATTATCAGGAACTTACCAGACAGCTGGAGTCTGTTGAAGGTAGCATTCCCACTGTTGGTTTGGTGGAAGAGACTGAGGACAGGCTTACAGACCGGATTACACTTTTTCAGGTCCGTGCTTTCCTATCGTTTGTTATAGAAGAGTTGGTTGGAAGGGTTGGAGGTCACCTAGTCCAGTATCAGCCATGGCTTTGTAAACGTGCAAAGACAGAGATCCCACAGCAGCACTGGGGATCTGTTCCAGTACTGCACCACTACTACTGATTTCTTTAATGTCCTATCCAAACCTCCCAAGCTCCAACTTGTGGCCACTGTTCTTTTTCTATTGTCTGGCACTACTGAGAAAAGTAGTACCTCCATCATCTTTGCGATTCTCTTTCAAGTAGTTGTAGGCACCTGTTAGACTAGCCCTTAGCCTCCTCTTTGCCAGACCAAAACAAACGCATCTCCTTCAGCCTCTTTTTAAAAGGGCACGCGCTCTAGGTCCCTACCTATCTTTGATAGCTCTCCAGTGGACTCTAACCAGTTCTTTGAAAACCCTCTTGAAACTGTGTGGGAGGTGGGGGGTGGGCAAATTGGATGCACTACATGTGGCCTTATCAGCACCAAATAAAGGGGGATAACAACTTCATTCTGCTTTTCACACTCCTCCTAATGTAGCCCAGTGCTGTGGTTTGCCTTGCTTGAAATGGCTTGTTACAGTAGATGCCAGGTTAGATACATCAGTCCTTTCCAGCAGGGATGCTACTCAGCCTTTCCCTCCCCACCCGTACTGTGGCACTGGGTTATTCTGCCCAAGTTGCAGAAATTTGCACTTCTCCATGTTGAATGTCCTGAGTTTCTGTTGGCTTAGATCTCAAGTTTATCCAATTGCCCTTGAACTAAGAATCTGCCATTTTTATGTGTCAGCTACTACCCCTACATTAGTGTCTTCCACAAATTTACTGAGGATGCTCTCTGTGTCATCATCCAGGCCATTAATGAAGATGTTAAGCAGTCTAGGCTCCGATATCACAAGCTCCTGGAGTGCTCTGCTGATTACTATCTGTCAGCTGGACATCAAGTCTTTGATCACTACTCTTTGAGACTGGCAGTGCAGCCAGTTTTCAACCCACGTAACAGACCCTTTATCTAGTACATACTCCCTCAGCTTCCAGATGAGGATGCTCTTGGGAGAAAGTGCCACAGGCCATACTAAAGTCAAAGTCTCATCCACAGAGTCAGTAATTTTGTCATAGAAAGCAGTTAGGCTAGCAAATCCTTGTAGCCTGTTTCTGATTACCTTCTTGTCCTTTGTGCTTGGATATGGATTCCAAGAGGATGTGTTCCATGATCTCTCCAGGGAACAAGGTGAGGCTGAATAGCCTAAAGTTCCCTGAGTTTTCATCTTCCTTCTCTACTACAACAAGAACTGATAGTTTAAATATAGGTTTTCTAACATGTCCTCTTTTTTTTTTTGAATTCTCATTCTTAGAATGAGAATTCTAGTCTAGTGTATTGTGTTTGCTTTGTAATACAACAGATACTTCGGGAGGCTATTTCAGATAAATGTCTGCCAAATTTCTCTTGCCAATGTAATATTCAGTCTCCCGTTTGTTTCCCATTCTTTTCCACGCTGAATTAGTTTTATATATTGTGTCTTTACCAGATAGCTTTCTGCTTTTGCGTGGGTGTGAGGAGAACTTAAGCAACCTATTATGTGTGGCTTTTATTTTGATTTGTTTAATACTAGACATTGTTTGTGTTCATTCTGACTCTAAATTAGTTGTTTTCCATTTCTCTTTCTTTTGTCAGTTTCATAAAATTAGGTTATTCAAGTCCGGATTATCAAACTCTGCTACTCTGCCATGGCATAACTGTTAGCACTTTTTTTTCCCTCCACTGAGGCCACTTTTAGATTAAAAATCTGTCCTAAGTAATTTATGGCCGCCTTGGAATTTTTTATTACTCTCTAGGAGTTACATATTTATGTTTGTATATATGTTTTATATATAAAAAATCCTGTTATTAGAGCTCGATTTATATGAAAGAGAAAATATGCAAAGTGGAAGAAGCTTTATGTACTTGCCGTAGTATTGGTAGCTTCTTGTACCTTATCTTCAGAATGATGTCAGCCTAACTGAAAAAAGGGAGTGCATGTACATTTCATGCCTGAGCTTAGTCAGACATATAAATAATTCTGAAAACTTTTACTACTCGTGTGAAGATAGCAGAATTTGGCCCACATGTACAAATTCAGAGTTGCAGAGCTGACTAACTTTCTGTCCCCTGTCATTACAGCGTCTGAAATCTAACCTGACTGAATACCAGCCCAAATTATACCAGGTGCTAGATGATGGGAAGAGGCTCCTTTTTTCTGTTAGCTGCTCAGAGCTGGAAAGTCAACTGAACCAACTAGGGGAGCACTGGTTAAATAACACCAACAAGGTGACCAAGGAGCTTCACAGGCTGGAAACAATACTGAAACACTGGACAAGGTAGTGCTAATATAATGAGCACAATAAGCTTCTTTGCCCATACTGTTGAAATTGGGGTCATTCTGATCCCAAATCTATTCGATTCCACAGATTAAAAGAAAGAAAATACTGTGAAATGCATGTGATTGTTTCACTTGTCAAACACACCACTCTACTTCTGTTCCATGCAAGTGCCATTCCAACCTCCTGTTTTGCAATAAAATGTGCACCGGTTCATAAGTGGTGGGAGGAAGTTAGCTGATTCCTAATTTAAATGACCAAGTCAGAAGTCTAGTGTCTGTTCAGGGTGATGGGAGAGGGTGTGTGCTTTGGCTAGACAGCCACTGTTGTTTCTCGCAGCTCTGTGTTGCAGCATACGTGGAAGGGAGCGTTTAGCTGTCTTTAGCAATGTTCGTATGCTACTTTTGAAATAGCATTCTCTAAGCGATATACAAGCTCTGTGTATTTTTCACGTGTGTTGCTAATATGAATGTCCCTGGCTGGTTGGCTCACTTGCCTTTCCAAGTGAGATATATAAAGGGATTGTGTATAAAGTTTGATGTGGAAGCCCTCAACATCTCATTCTGACATGTGATTAGTTGTTTTGGATATAGAATGATAGGAAGATCGTTTCTAAAAAGCATTACATTTCTGAGATGCCTTGTACTAAACTTTTGGAAGATTGAGCCTTCTAATAGAGAGCGAAAGGGAGTGAGAGGGGACAACTTACCCAAGTAGTTTTGGTAACTCAGTGTTATTCCTAGTTACCAGTTCTTCATTGGATTTTCTTTGTCCTAAGAGGCAAATAGAAGGTCTTGTTAAGAATTGTGGTCGTAATGAATAAAATAAAAGCTATCTGATATATAATTTTTATAATTTTTATATATTATATATAGTTTTATATATATTTTTAAATATTTTTGATAGAGTAAGTAATTTTTTTTTCATATGGCATATGATATTTTCCTCTCACACGTGGAGGAGAGACTGCTGTCCTCCACGGAGAGCATGGAGGCAGCAGGAGGCAAAGACTGTTTTAGCTTTCTATAAACATCTTTACAGGTATCAGAATGAATCAATTGAACTGATGCATTGGTTACAATCTGCAATGGAGCGGCTTGAATTCTGGAGCCAGCAGTCAGTGACGGTTCCTCAGGAACTGGAAACAGTCCGAGACCACCTGAATTCCTTCCTGGTAAGACAGTTTGTTGGCCTAGGACACGTTTTCTCTCCAGCTACAAATAAGTAGTTGAGCAATTGAATGATTATACTTTACCTCAACACTGAAGCAGTGACTATAGAAAAAAAAAATTCTATAGGTGGGCTTCAAAAAGCTGATGTGTTTGCACATTCGGCACCATGTTGCTGTCTATAATAATTGTAAAGCTTGATGTTTCTAAAAACAGAAAATGGTTTTATGACTGAAAATAACTTTTGTTTTCACTCAGTCTGAAGTGTAGCTGGTAACGCTAATAGTAAGTGTTAATTTTTTTTGAAGGGGAGGGAGATATTCCTAGTTCTTTGAGGTGCACCTTAAACAGGTAACAAAAAAACTAAACAAGTAATTTCTTATTTCTGTGAAAATTATGTTGCTTACAGGAGTTTTCAAAAGAAGTGGATGCTAAATCGTCACAGAAATCTTCTGTCCTGAGTACTGGGAACCAGCTGCTTAGGCTGAAGAAGGTAGATACAGCAACATTGCGTGCAGGATTGTCCCACATTGACAGTCAGTGGACAGAGCTGCTCACAAAAATCCCAGCGGTGCAAGAGAAATTGCATCAGGTAAGGAAAAGACCTAGTGCAGTGATGGTCTTTTGTTATTCCAGAAAGTTCAAATGTGCTGATTATGTATTCCACCTGCAGCTGCGTGGAAAAGTTGCTTTCTAAAGATTTACAGTATGCATTGTTCTCCTCAGAGTGTCATCACACACCACTACGTAACTTGGTGTAGCTGGTAATTTCCTTAAGAGATTTTTGCTCCCTTCTGCTCTTTCCCGGAGTGGGACAAGATAGAAACACTATTATTGCATTTTAGTGCGAGAAAGCTTACACTGTTACGTGCAAATCCTTTCTTTCCACATTGTCTAGAGCCAATTGGTGCTAATTTCACAAACTTTCGCAGTTACACTTGTTAAACGTTACCTAACAAACGGATGAGAATTTCGTTCAACATGTTTATTACCACGCTGGTGTGCTTTTTTGGAAAAATGGAGTTTACATCCTGCAAGTCAGGCAGAGCTTGTTTCCTTAGGAAGTTTGGTTATGTTCAAATTGAATAGGCTGGGTTCTAATCTGTGGAAGACAAAACAAATCTAAAAAACACAGTGCAAGGTTCCTGCTGGTATATGTAGGAGCACAAGGGTTTTGGTTATGCGGTTTTGTTTTTTTAATGGCTGTGACACTGGCACTAAAGAATTATATTAGTGTAAAGATTGGTTTAGCCTTCAATTGCTAAAAGATTATCAGTCTAAGCAGTTGCTTTAGTTTCTAATTTGGAATGCTCTAAAAGGTAGTAATATTGTCCAGATTTAGGGGGAGAGAAGAGGAGAGGCAAACTTCAACTGTGCCTGCTATGTTAGTTAGAAATAATGTTGTTCAGCAGTTCTCTGAACCCTCTTGTAATGCAGAATGCATACTGCTTCCTAAAGATGCTGTCATAGAACACATTTTATTTTTGAATAACTAAATTTAAGCAAAAACTTGTGCACAAAAAGCTGGAAGTGAATATCTTAAGAAAAAAATAACAGGTACTTTTCAAAATCTATGTAGAAATCACCACCCCAAGAAGAGTGGTAGAGGACTATTTTCCCTGGGCCTATTTGTTAGCCATTTACAAGGACAAGAAGAGTATAGCATAGAGTTGATCCTCTGTGTAAGCCCGGTAAAGAATTATGGAATGAGAATGCAGAGTTTTTTAGAAGTCAGAAATGGAATCTTTAGATTTATCCAGTTTCTGTGTACAATGACAATTGGAAATAAGAAGCATTCAGTATAGTATTTTCTTACTAAGATGCATATAGTTATTCAATGCATCTCCTATAATATGCTTGCATTTTTTACTTCTTTATTTTGTAAAATTCCAGAAAAGCAGACAGTGATCTGTTAGGGATGCAGAATAACATGATAATAAGGTCAAGTAAAGAATGATGTGCTATGGTAATGCAAAGCAAGGCATTCTTACTCGTTCTCTTCACAATGTACATTTAAAGTCTTTTATTTCTACAGCTGCAGATGGACAAAATTCCTTCACGCCATGCTATC